CTGTTGAGTTTGTAGGTGTTCAGAATGGTTTGATCCCTATCCAGCTGAATTCCTGAGAGGAGACGAAATCCAGGTCTCGTACTCCTCCGCCATCTTGCTCCGCCCTGACATGCTGTTTTTAATAAGGAAAGGGATTTTTTGTTTTTCCATTGAGTACTGTAGGATTATACTAGCTCAGCTTAGTAGGAAATCGAGTTTTGCTCCATTGCCAAACTTAGAGTCAGCCTACCAAGTGTGCTTTTGTGGAATTCTTCATCGTAGACTATAGCAATATCCACTAACTCCAATTAAAAAAAAAAAGGAAGCTATGTACAAAATAGAAAGCTGCTAATTTTATAACTCTAAAATATTCACAGAAATGGTTACTAAGAAATGAAAACTTTTCAAATGATGTCCATTTAATGTTCGACCAGTTTGTAGGATACAATACATTATTCATATTTTTTCTTTGTAAGAATGGTGGGATGCCCTTCTCTCAATGTCTAGAAGAGTCTAAGCCTGTTGACACACAAATACAATGCTGAACATCTGGCAGAAGCTTGCTGTGGACCTCTTGGGCCGGCTGCCACTAACCCATAAGGTACCTTTGGGTAAATTAGAAAAAGGCGCCCCCGGCAGCCTGCCTCCCTTGTGCCATAATGATTTCCTCCCCATGAAGTTGCTTATGGGAAACCCTATGGCACCTGGTAAAAGCTGGTCCTGTGCAGTCTACCAGCCAGCATTTCCTCTTAGATAAGCTCAAAAAAAAAAAAAAAAATCCTTAGCATACTGCATAATGATATTTCTTTTGGCATGGATAACAGATGAAAAACCTAAAGAGCAAATTATTTTCTGTAGAATTTATTAACATTGCTTTTGTTATAATTAACTTTATTCAAAGAAATTGCAAATTAAACTACTATAACTTGGCCCTGATCAACAAATATCCATCTCTATTATGCAATTTATTCATTTATATAAGAGTTGGAGAGTAGTTCCATACAATGTAGACAAAAAGGAATTGGATTATTTTTCCTGAACAGTAAAGATTTTCCTTGAATATCCTGCCAGAAGAACCTGCCAGATGTTTTCCATCTTCTCTGAGCACAGAACAAAAGGAAACTGGCTTAAGCTACATAGATATTTCAGCTCTGGAAAGAATTTCCTAGCAAAGAGAATAATGAAATTAGTTTATAAGAGGTTTTTTCCCCCAAAGTAGTTAGAACCTTGAAAGTAAGAATAAAGATTGTTTTGCCTCACATTTTAAAGTCCACTTTTCTCCTTTCCCTTTGGAAATATAAGGATTATTTGTAAATTAAAATTAGCAGTTTTAACTGCAAGAAAAATTAATAGAGGTATGTGGAATAGGCCTCACATGATCATTTTTTTGTTGTGGGAGATCTAATTTTTGCATGGGAAAATACCCTTGCTTGTCTAGCTAGCTAAGGGTGGATGAAAGGTAGTCTGGAGAAAATTGGTCAAGAGAGTAGAGAGTTTCATATACCAAACTTTTGTCATCATAGCTCTGAAACACAAAATTATATGGAAATAGTTGATTAGCAGAGCAAAAAAGGCAATATATACACTATAACGAATCGTTTGAGTAAAGAAACCCACAACCAATTTCTTACTTTACAAGCATTGGGCTTAGAGACAGGAAAACTGGGGTCCTAGCATGTGACACCAGGCAGTTTATATTCTCTCTGATCTTCAGTGTTCTCATCGGTAAAATATGTGATTGCACTAGTTACTAAAGTTCCTTCCAGCCCTAATATTTTTGGTCAGAATTCCCCGTATTTTTTACCTTTAAGACATCAGAGTTTTCAAATTTTAGTGTGCATCAAAATCACCTTGGAACTTGCTAAAAGTGCATATTTCACCCCCAAGACATTGGTTAAACAGGTGGCGTCCAGGGTATCTTTTTCTTTCTTTTTTTTTTTTTTTTAAAGATTTTATTTATTTATTTGACAGAGAGAGACAGCGAGAGAGGGAACACAAGCAAGGGGAGTGAGAGAGGGAGAAGCAGGCTCCCGGCCGAGCAGGGAGCCCAATGTGGGACTCGATCCCAGGACCCTGGGATCATGACCTGAGCTGAAGGCAGACGCGTAACAACTGAGCCACCCAGGTACCCCCGGAGTATTTTTTTCACACACTCTCTCCACGGTGAGATTGCAGGAAGACCAAGGAATATGTTCAAGAAACATTCAAACGAAACCTAACAGAAGACACGTCTCATTAGACTTCATGTATTGAGTAACTGGCAGAATGCCTGGAAAGAGTAGGTACCCGCTGAATGTGGATTTAATGAACTGTTTTTCATTACAAGATTCATATTTGCGATATTAATTGATCTTCATGATTATTTGATTCCCTAAGAGAAAGAAGGGATACTTCTAACAGAGGGAAAATAGTCTATATAAAGGTTCCTCGGGAGCCACAAAGTGATGTAGAACTACTTTGTAGATCAACAAATTAAAAAAAAAAAAAAATCATACCTTCTCTTCCATATAGCACCCCTCCAATCCTCAATGTAAAGGAAAAAATTGAATTCTGCACTTGTATGCCTTTTACTAAGTGCCATAATGACAGGATGCTCTTTTTATCCTGAAAAAGGACTAAGTCTTTCTGTTAAAGTGCTAGAAAATCAAGCTGTCACTTCAACCCACGGCAGCTGTCTCTTGCACCACCTCTGCCAAATGTCACCCTTCCTCTGTGGGGTTTGATTCTGCTCCTGGATCTGGGGGAGTATGCCTTACTGCACAGCTTGTAACATCAGTCTCCGTGCCTTCAAGTCTCAGATTCTTGCTCATTTCACCTCATGTATATTAATACAGAGATTAGTTTCACTTTTTTCTTGAATAGCTAATCACTTGGCAGCCAACATCCCACTGTGGCATTGCAGGTCAAATCAGCTGAAAAGGACAGTGACTTCAAACTGGAAAATATAATGCTTAGTGAAAACTGCACCCAGAACAGGACCTCAGACTTGTCACCCAGACATGAAAGATTTATTTTCAATTACAAATCCAAGCTTAATGTGAGGGCACCCTGGGGGAGATTCAGATCACTACTTCTTCTAAATTGACCTTCTACTTGTTTCAATATTTCCTTCGCTATTGAACAGCATTCCATGACCCTCTGAGCTGAAGATCCATATTAGCTACTGTAGGAATTGCTGGTCTAGGAAAACTTTTGAAAAATTTCTCCAACTGAAGGCCAAGTTACATGAGTAATTTTCTCCTTGGTGAGCTTTCACACATTAACACAGCGATAGATTTGGGGCTCCAGACAATACTTCCGATGGACTGCAGGGGCCAATATCCCCATGTTACTTATGCTTAAGTACAACCCAAAAAGTTACTCCAATTTTCGATATCAGGTGGATTTATTGTTAACATCTAAGTAAGACCTATCATGTATCCCTTTGGCATTAGTAAATGAGATTACCCGAGGCGAGCTGCTGGTGCTACTAATTGGTCTCTGGGATTGGTGTGCCTCAGGGTATTTTGGGTCCATTCTAGTGCCTTTGTATATACTTAGCAGCTGCTCTGAAAGGCATACCATACGGCTCTAATCTAGGTAGGCTTCACAAACTCTTTTTTTTTTTTTTTCAAGTAATTTAAAACAAAAAGGTAGATTTAATGCAATAACAACATTAATCTGAGGATAAATAAATCCACAACAGACTTTAA